GGTAAAGAAAATCAGAGCCATTAAACACAGATTGTTGGTAAAAGCCCAACTGACTTCAATAAATACAACTTTGTTTACGAGGAGGAAAGAGAAGAAGAAACAAATGGTCTGAATCTGCCATCAAATCAAATAAAAAATGTTGCATTCCAAGTTTTCCATGAAAAAAATTCAGAGTACTGAAGCGTGTTTGGTTACATTTTCAAATGTTGCACACTAGGGAGGTCCCATTTTATAGTCTAATATTGGGAAAGAAATGTAAAATCAGAAACGATCAGTGTCAGTTTTTACTCACTTAAAACTACTATGACAAATCTGGAAAACAAATTAGCTTCAAACATTTTTTCATGCCTCTTAACAACATTCTAACAAAGTATAGCTATAAATATATTGTGGAGATTTAAAAAAATAATAGTTAAGTGGTTCTATTGTTTTTGTCCAAAAACCTTTGCAAATAACACGCTTCCGATCAAAAGCAACCATCGAACCATACGGTTGTTGGTCTTGCCGAACCGCCACACTTCCCTGGGTCCTCCACTTACGACGCACTTGTGTATTTAGCAACAGACAACCACTGATGTGAGATGGTTGCTCAATAAAATCAGAGGGAGAAACAGCCGGCTTCTACTACTTCAACTTTAGAACAATAAACAGAGTCCCAAAAAGAAAAACACCATTTGAGTTATGAACAACAAGAGGCATTGGACCAAGAAAATGGCGACCCTCTTGAAACGCAGGTGTCCAGGTCCAGCAGAAGCGTCTCAGAAAAGAGGCCCGAGGGGAGGGGTGAGTGTGTTTGCATTCAAAACCTAGCTTGTTCTGTAAATTCGCCAAAGCAGCTTTAAGGGTTAGACAATCAAATATCTGTAAAAAAGAAAAAGCTGATATCGAACATCCCTAATTATGATTCCAGCAGGAGCAAATTTCAAATACCTCTCTGACTATTATTACCACTGCTTTCTCCTGAAACCTAAAGTAATCTATTAGACTAAATTCAGACATCCAAAAAAACAAAAAAAACTGTTCATCCAAGTGAAGAAGAAACTGATTCAACCTGCAAACACTGAGTTAATCATTCATTACATAAGAGATCACTGATGTTTTTGTTCTGTTTGTACTTGGACTAGGGGTCACAAGGCACAACAATGAGAGGTGTTTGACGTAAAATGCTCTAATAAATCACCCAAAAGTAGTTTGATCACAGCATTAGATAACTGTTTGTCTTCATTGCTCACAAAACCAACATTTCTCCAACATCCAATAGTTCATTACCAATGGAGAGTTGTTTGACAAGGTTTAAAACGACCCACTTTAGGGGTGGCTAGGTCTGTGACACACACAACCTCAGAAATTCAGAACTCCACAAGAGGTTTGCATGTCCAAAACTCACTGTGAGTCAGAAGTGAAAAAAAAAATACAAATGTCAGAAATATGTATTTATGAAAAAAAGGTCTGTTAGCATAGTTTAGTGAAAGGACTATGATACGGACGGACTAATACCTCAAAAATCATACAAAGACCTACGTGTTGAGAGGCAGACTTATCCTGCTGTGAAACAAAGCCAGGATTGCTATGTATGATATGCTATATGCTAAGCTAAACCAACCTACAGCTGTTAGGGGTTTCATTTTCAACAAAACCAACAGATATGGGCTCTGAGAGCTCTGTACACACGGCAAGCAACATATATTGAAAGGAAGAGTCCATTGTATGCAACAGTTTAAGATTGTTGGACAATTTTCCAAACATGAGAGGTGTTTAAAAGTCACAGATATACTAGTTTTGGAGCTATTGTGTGTGGCAACAACACGGCAAAACACACCACACAAAAACTGGTTTCACACTTAACATTTCCAGAAACTGGGAAATCTCACCTTACCTCTCAAGATCAAACGTAACTTCATATTAAACAAACATGATAGAGGAGGAGCATGCAGTGTGCTTCCATAGCCTCGTTTTCTGATTGGCTACATGTCACATCCAACAGGTAGCATGTTCATTTGTCCTTGATATTTGGGCATGACAATCCAACATATTGAGTATTCTCGAGTTATGATCAGAATAATCATGCTGTGCTTTTGAGCATGTCAGAGCACTCTTAACACACCACACATGCCAGGAATATCTGATAAGATGGCCTGTGGAACATTACAGTAATCTGGTGGTACTTAAGCTCATCAGAAAGGGAGAATGGGGTCAGGCCTTGCTGTAAATAGTTTTTTTAAATTACTTAAATTTGGAGAAACAAAATTTGTTCTGATCAGAAAGGTAAAGTAATAAGAAGCCTAAAGCTGGGCGGACACTGTGCGACTTTTTCACTCGTAGCACTCAGCTTCAGCTCAAACTGTACGACTTCCTCACAGGGTAGATCTCACGAGTCATGTGCTCACACTGTACGACCCAGTTCTCGCATGCGACCTGACTGCTCACACTGTACGTCTGGTAGCAACACGTCGGACCTAAAAATGTGCTAAAAATAGCCGTTTTTACTCAACACGTCAGACTTTTTTGTCTTGCCTGTTGTCCTTCAGGAGTGCTTCAGGAGGACACACAGGGATTTATGGGGGTTGGATGAGGAAAACGAAATAAAGAAAGTAAATCTGTGTTTTGTGATCAGTTTAATTTGACATGAACACGACAAACACGCTTTCTTGACAATCTTTGTGAGTAAAAAAACGTGTAGAAATAAAAACGAACAACGTGTGTTATTAGAGAAATAGCGGGCGAGCGGTGTTGATGCAGGATTGCGCATGCGCCGTGAGCGGTTCTGATACATTTTGGGTCGCAGCGCCGCTTCAACAGTGCGATACCCTCACGAGGGACGAGCAAAATATCAAACACACCAGAAGTTTGCGCAAGCTCATGATTGCTGATTGGTAGCTGGTCACGTGGTGTTAATCGCCTCTCGTAACCCCCTGTACACTACACAACGCTCAACGCAAAACTCTCCCCGATCTCGTGGATTCTCGCACGAGTGGAAAATTGGCTCCAAAAAAGTGAAAAAGTCGCACAGTGTGCGCCCGGCTTAACCTAAGTCTCCTCCCTTTCTGGTCGGCTCATGGGTCAACTGGGCTAAAAGCTATTCAGATTCAAATTTCAGATTTCAGATTTATTGGTCAAGTAAAAGTATATTTACAAGGAATTTGTCTTCGGTAGATGTTCGCTCTCTAAAACATACAACAACCACAATAAATGAGAATAAAAATACCTAAAAACACATAAGAACATGTATACCCACACACATGTTCATTTACACACACACACACACACACATATATATACATATATACATATCCACACACACACGCACGCACGCACGCACACCCACCCACTCACCCACACACACACACACATATATACATATATACATATCCACACACACACGCACGCACGCACACCCACACACACACACACACACACACACACATATATACATATATACATATCCACACACGCACGCACGCACACCCACCCACCCACCCACCCACCCACCCACCCACCCACCCACCCACCCACACACACACACACACACACACACACACACACACACACACACACACACACACACACACACACACACACACACACACACACACACACACACACACACACACACACACACACACACACACACACACACACACACACACACATATCCATAAGCATACTGAATAAGTATTAAAAACTATAATAAAAGGATGGTAAAATAATCTACAGATTCAGGAGATATTTTCTAATCCGCTAAACCTTAGGCCCTGTATTGCACATATGTAGTACTGCAACTGAAATGAAAAGTAATGATGTGTGTTTTGACCATACCTGTCATGTACATTCAGATTCATCAGCTTGTAAAAGTTCATAATTAGCATGACTACATTGGCACGTCGCATATATAACACCACTCCATAATCTCCTCTCCCCTAGCGTAGCTGCTACTTACCACATGGCCAGATTTATGCTGGTTCTTTCCTCCTAAAGGAAGGATTTGAAGTTTGCTGAACTTACAGCCATTTTTCCTCTGTTTTACCTTAAAGACTTCTAACTTTACTTCTACATTTGTATTTGTGTTTTGCTGTTTGCAGCGGGCACTTGAAGAAACACCATTTGAATTCTGCGTGTGTCTTGCGCGTATGTCATTCTTTACAATAAAGAAAAATGAAATTAAACTGAATAGTTACAGTGAAACTGATTCCAGAGTGGGTTAAAGTGACTAATCTTAAAACATTTCATAGCAATTTATGCGAACATTGTTATATATTATGGTCCTTTTCACAGCTATTAAATTAAACTGGTATCCCATAATTACCCATATTGGTTTTTGACCATCTGTGACTATCAGCTCCTCAATTCAGAGCAAATTCCCCAAACTGAGGCTGTTTAAAGAAGTAGCCACGTTTCCATGGAACCTGAATTCCCATGAACTACCACTCAGTGACAGTAACAAGTAACAGTGAATGAGGGTCAGTGAAACCTTGGTTTGTGTGCGCACTCTTTTCCTCAAAAAGTACCACCACATCCGCCTTTAGCAGGCCAACCAACCTTGTTAGAGGTTTTAGTTTCCAGCAGCAGCTGCAGGCTGTGGTGGATGTGTGTCACTGTGTAAAAGGTACACAGCAGCTTACTCGGAAAAATAAACTCAGTCACCCTTCTCTGAATTGTTGGCCTTTACCTCTCACATGGAAATAGTCTACTCTGGTGGAGTTTAACCGGGCAAAAATGTATTTTAAAGGGACAAAACACACAAAAACTTTAGCTTATGTTTTAAGAGTCTTGTTGGATTTATATAAAGGCTGGTTTAATTGGCCAATTAGTTAAACACATATGTAATGCTGCGCAGCATTGATTTTTTAGAACAGGACATATATGGTATTTTTCTTTTAAATGTTAAAATGTCAGAAAATCAACTTTTTGTCAGGTGTACGGCATATGTTCATGCAATGAGAATAAACACTCAAACAATAACAAAGCAAATAAACACGTATAAACTGGAACATGTCCTGTACCATAGAGTGTCCCACGATGAAGACTGGAAGGTCAGGGTGGCGGGATTTCATGAGGTCGATATGCTGCAGGGAATCCCTGACGTAAACCTGAAAGTCTTTAATCTTCATCCTTTCTCCTTCACTCTGTCCATGGCCAACTAGAGAGAGATAGAAGAAGAAGAAGAGGAAGAGGAAAGGGAGTTACTGGCTTCAAGGAACCGATCTTAAGTTGAAAAATAAAGAACCATTGGTGGATTTAAGATGTTCTTTGTCTCACAACAACCTAATTGGACTTCTTTCAGGACATTTTTATTCGAACTGGTAGTAATTTCCAAGTCTGACAAACTGATCAATTCTTTGGTTTTTTTAATCTTTAAGACAAACAGGAGTTAAAATGGATGAAGGGGATTATGAAAGGACTAAAGAACAGAAAGTAATCAGATAAAATGACAAGGACAGCAAAGAAAAGAGGAAGCAAAGGGAATGGAAGTGGGCAAGCTGGGTCTATAAATGAGAGAATGAAGCAGATGACACTCAAATTTATGAATAGGGGTGGGGAAAGGAAGACAGGGTGGTGGTGAATGGGAAAGGGCATTAGAAAGAGAATAAACGAGAGAACAAATTAAAAAAGGCACAAATGGATGAATATTTGAACAAAGAACAGAGAAAGTATAAAAATGATGGCAGTAATAAATAAAGGAAGACAAAAGAAGGAAAGGTTACAGTTTACTCATGATGATCAGCTATCAGATAACAGCCTGTGGAAGAAACCCCAGATTGTTAAAGAATGACAAAGACCTTTATGTATAAGGAAGAGAACAAAGTTGATCTCAGTTTGATGAAGAGATGCCCAAGGCGGCGTGAGAGTCTCAAGTGTGCATCAAAGTGTGACAGTAAAGATAAAAAATGGTGTCTACAGATACGTGTTCAAGTTCAGTCTTTCCGTTTGAGAGTTTCATTTGGTGTCATCAAACAAACAGGTCCTGAATGTGGAAATGACTACTGATAATATGTTTCTTAACTAACAGCCTCATTGATGTTTTTTTTATTTTATTTGGTTTCCGTAGATATCCTTAAAAGCTTTACTTGGTGTCATAATGAGGTCCTGATTGCCAGTTTTGGGAATCACAGATTTAAAGCCAGAATCTCATAGGCTCCATCTGATGTGAACAGCATTCACAATTTAGTGTCCTTGATTCAGAAAGAGTGAGACAATTTAGGGTAGGGTTAGCAAACTAATTTAGACAAAAATGAAACACAAATATGCCATTTTGTAATTAAATGGCAGCAATATGTGCAGGTCTGTTGTGTGAATGTCACAGTTTGATTAGTTTCAACAGTTCCTCACCGCGTGACCCAGCCTTGTGTAACACTAAAGAGTCGTTTACACCAGTTCATACACCAAGAGTCGTTCAGTGTGATTCCAACAGTAAAATTTGCTAAATTTCTTGTAATTATGTGTCAACGAGGTGCAAACCCAGCTATAACGCAGGGAGACGTTGGTTTTAGACTTTTTTTCATTTCCAGAGTAAATAAAAATAAAAATAAAATCTTCAGCAGCTCACACATCTTCTGTTTGAAGCTGCTTTCTTTTGCTTTGCTGTTTGAGCAGTCAAACGTGAAGTCAGCAGGACGATTCTGCAGAAGGGTTTCACAAACACTCAGCAAAATGTTTTCCTTCACAGTGCTTGATTCATCTCCTCCACCACATTTTACACACACACACACAGAGGTTCTCTGCAGAACAAAAGGCCAATTAACCAGCCAAATTAATTTTCAAACAGGATTAATTAGAGCCGGTGGACTTCCTGTAAGCCGGTGCTAAAGCTGTGTGTGGACTACTGATAAACACCGTGCACCATGAGCGTGGGTGTAAATATATGCAGTATATGGGTTTCCAGTCCAGTGATGGTTTTTCTTTGCTCACCGTGATCATGTGCAAAAGCCAGCAAGGACACATCCTTCAGTCTCTGAGCAATCTCATCATATGGACCACTGTGTTCGCCGGCTCCATGAGCGATAAACACAAGAGCCCTGAGGGGAAGAGAAAGAGGAAAAAGTTTAATTTCCACCAAAAAAGGACCTGACCCCTCTTCCTCTTGTTTTATCTCTGATGTTCAGATATGAAAAAAAGTTGACATTCTTCATGGAAGTGCCGCGTTTCCTTGATTAACTGATCCTGTTTTTTTCAAACAGCAAAAATCAGAAGAGTTTATGTTGTTGGGATAAAAAAACAAATATGTGACCTTCAGAAAATTCTGTGCATCACTGCCTGTGACGGGCTTGAGAAACAGGATGACGGAAAAACAATCCTGACCAACAGCAGAGGACAGGCTGTGCATTTAGAGGGAACATTTGTCATCTGTCTCTCTTCCTCCACATACCCCTGCTACTTGACTCAGAACAGACACTGGGGATGAAAACAGTAAAACACACTATAAAAATACAGCTGATAGTTATCTTTAGAGCTGCACACTGCAAAAAAAAAAAAAAAAAAACCCAACAAAAACAAAAAAAAAACAACAACCTAAAACCACTTTAAAACAAGTTCAAAAGAATTAAAAAAAATGAAAAGAAACAACATTAAAAGCAGTCTAAAAACAGAGACCTGTGACTCTCAAGCTAAAGAATAAAAATAAGTTTTAAGAGTTTTTTTAAGTTGTGAGTGTCGAAGCTTGCTCAACAGATATAGGGATTGCGTTTCACAACTTAGATGATCCTCCAATAATCTATGTTGTCATAAATTTGTTTTTTCTTCAGTGTATAGGATCTTTAACTGATCCTTACATTTTTGAGTCTCCCTAGTTCAGAAGGTATTTTGTAGTTTGTCTTTTTTTCTATTTGTATTTTTGCAGTTGTGACTTTAGAAAATTTGAAGTGGGGTGAGGGGGAAGGGGGCAAATAGTCTAGGTAGGGTGGCAACAACTGGTGGGTTTCCACTATCTCCACTATTCCACCACTGTCTCCACTTCACTGGGCCAGCTAAAAGGACAGTTTTCCAAGCCATTTCCAGGAAACAACAGAGTACCTGAACAAGGGTAGGTACTCGGAAAGGCCCGGTAGCGTCACTGAGCAGAATTTTTGGGTAACTCGGGCTGATGCTTGTAACTCAGTAGGAAATTACGTCAGCAGGCATTGCCCAAAACAACCATTTGTACAAATTAGAAGAGCTGGTGGTGAAGCAGAATGGAGGCAACAACAAATAAGCACCAATCGCACAGCTTTAAAATCACCGTTACTAAACTCCCAACACCAAAAAAACTCAGCCATAATTTGATGCATTTAAATTTTGCCTGTGCACGCTTTTTGGCACTAATTAGTGACATAAAAGCAGACGTGATATGCTGACGTCTTAGTGAAGTCCTGAAAGTGCTGAATTTGTATGACGACACAACAGCTGAGAGGACCAACCATTGTATCTCCCCTTAACTTTCCACCGCCCAGAAAAGACCCTGAAGGTCCGACAATGGAAACACGACTAATGTTGGACCTCCTCACTAAAGCCTGGTTTATGCTTCTCCGTCAGCTCCGCAAGGGACAGACACGCACGGACTGACGGAAGCGTTTTGCTCTCATACATCTCCGTCTCCTGGGGAGTGTTGCAAAGCAATTCCCTGGCAGGACAACAGAGGGCGTAGCGCTGTTCTGTGGTATCCTGTCATGTATCGATTCAAGATAGTGTGTTTATATTGTGTTTTTTGTATATAAGAGACTTTTTAACACAGAAAAATTTGTCTCTCATTCGCCTCCACCTCTTCATGCGCTCGCCACCTCTAAACCCACGTTACCTGTCAATTCCGTCCACAAATAAAATGCTTGCTGCATATCTTTTCACTCATCCAGTCACGGGGGGATTAAACGTTCATATTTTATTGTTTTTTTCGCGAGGTATTCTTCAAGCTTCTCCGTGTTTGCCGTTAGTTATCCTTGGCTTTCTTTATGTTTTTCAGGGCGCAATGGCGGCGGTTTAGATAACAGCGGCGTCCTGACCAATCACAAGCTTGCGTTGTCCGTCTCGACTGACGGATGTTTAGAAAAGAGAGCTCGACTCCGTCCGTCCTTGCGGAGCTCTCCGGCAGGCCCACAAGGATGTTGCGTGTCTCCGCACTGACGCAGACGGAGAAGCATGAATCAGGCTTTAAGTGCATGAAAATCCTCTTTTGTCTAAATGGAGTCAAAAAAGTATCCATAAAAATACTTTAAAACTATTTATTGTTTCATTATTTCTTGAAAGAATTTGAAGAAATATTTTAGGTATAAATGGAAAACATATCTGCTACTAAATAAGGAAAAAATACTCAAGACAAATTAAGCTGAAGTGTATTTTAAGGACATAAAAGAAGGGGGGCAGCTATGGGGGCAATGCCCTGAAGCAGATGGGCAGTTGCCCCCTCTTGCCTGCATTTGGATCTGCCCCTGGTTTTCTAGTTTCTTCATTCTGTGTCACAAGATGTTGTTTTTCATCTGCTACTTGGTTATTCTGCACCTTTGCACACCTGTCCATTCAATATTTACCCAGCTGCTTCTCACCACATTTCACATGTAACATTTTGTGGATTTGGACTTGGTTCAGCCTTTTTTTTGGGATCACGTGGCTTCTTAAACAGAAATTACATGCATTTTGTCCTTGCAAGCTCTGGAATGAATTCCTTTCTGTTAGAAATATTTAAATATTATGTTTTTCCTCTCTGTGCATACTAAACAGAAGAGGTGCAGTAAAACGCCTGAGTGTTCTTTCACTGAGAAGCATCGGTGGTGCCGAGGAGCCTGCTGGAGCTTCAGCATGTTGCTGCAGAGAAATTAGCCCAAATGCATTCAGCGACAGAGTAGGGAGGGAACAAAGTGAGACTGGGAGAATGCCAGCAAAAATGTGAGGGGGTGCGGGGTGGTGAGGAAGAGCAGAACAGAGGTAGCTCTTCATTGGGCTTTATTAGCACATTTCACTCACGGCTCTTTCCCTCTTTTTAGCAAAGCCATTGCTCTGGGCCAAGACTTTCTCTGCAGTCAAAATGAAGGAGAATCCATGTGAATGAATGTCTTTATGTGTGTGAAATATTCTGCACCACAACCAGAAGAGCTGCAGCGCATGAGTGGAGGTAATTTGAATTCACTGTCAAAGCAATGAATGACATGCTGCACCCTGTAACTTCCTGCCTTTTTTCTAAGATCCACCATTTCCTAAAACACATCTTTGGTTTTTCTGGATAACACGTCTTCTTTCTCTCTTCCAGCGTTGTCTCTTTACTGTCTGAGTGGTTGTAAAGTACCAAAGAACAAAAAGAAAACGCAATGTTCTCATCTACAAAGGGATTCAAAGCTGGTAAAGCTGGAGTATTTAAATCAGAATCCCAACAAACACTGCAGACAAGTGACATGATTCAGGCATCATCGTGTTGGCTCATCTGTGCTAACCCACCCCACTTCTTCAATGCTTCAGGGAGGCTTGATAGATATTTTCACCATTACAAATACAATGCCTGTCCCATAAAATGTCGCTTTAGGGTCATCTTAAGGCTCAGAGATGTCCTTTCATTAGTAAAACATGCACCCTTCCTCATTTAACATCACTATGGATGCAAATGAGCCAACTCCATCCAGTGATGCTGCACACTTCCTGAAAATGTTCCTTTGATTTTTCAACCCATGTTCAGATCTGTGCACATGGAGGTGAAACCCTTGGATATGTCTCATCTGCTGCTGAATTATTTGATCCCACTGACTGTTGTTTCATGGGAACCAAAGACACATGGTGTATGATCAGCCTTATTTAAACACCCAGAGAGCGAGACTCCCACTGCCTTCACACAGAGCTACTCCAAACAACCAGAGGGCCTAAACAAAGCTGAGGTCCTAATCTCCCCTTTATGCAATGCGGGTGGGGAACTAAAACTATAGAGCAGTGCTTCTCAATCCTGGTCCTGGCCAGTATCAAGCACATTTCTGTTGCTCCTCTGCTCTAGCACACTTGATTCAGTGGTTGAATCACTTGTGCAGCAGCCCATCAGGCTCTGCAGAAGTCTGTTAATCACCTGCTGATTGAAATCAGAGGTGTTGATGCAGGGTTAAAACTAAAACATCATGGATATTGGCCCTTCAGGACCAGGACCGAGAGCCACAGCAGTAGACCCTACAAACCTCTCAGTTTTGCTAAAAGTCTTCAACTTTATATGAACATTACAAGAAACTTAGCAGATCCTCATCAACACCATTAACAATATTGTCTTTGAGGCTTTTCCACTGTTGCCTCCGTATTAATTCCCATTAGTCATCATCACACACCGATATTACATTTCCGCATTTGACCCATCCCTGTGGGGAGTGGTGAGCTGCGCTCATGCAGGAACTATTTGGTGGTTTAACCCCCCAATCCAACCCCTTAAAGCTGAGTGCCGGGAGGAATAGGGAGCATAAGTCTCCTCCCTTTCCGGTCGGCTCAAGGGCCCCCGGAAGAACGAAAAAATGAATGCAAGTCAACGAGGATAAAAGAACTATTTTCTAATCCGCTTTGAATTACTCCCTGGATCACCCGTGTTGTACTTCAAATTAAATTAAAAGTGATGGGTGTTTCAACCTCGCCAGCCACATCCATTGAGATTTATCAGTTTGTAAAAGTTCGTAATTAGCATGACTACATCAGCATGTCGCATATGTAACGTCACCACATAATTTCCTCCTCTAGCGTAGCTGCTACTTACCAAATGGCCACATTTATGGTGTTTTTTTTTTCCTCCTGAAGGAAGGATTTTAAGTTTGCAAAACTTACAGCCATTTGTCACACCCTGTCTTGTCTCCCCATTCTGTTTAGTCATGTGTCTCTGTTAATTGCTCCCACCTGCCTCTCGTTTTCCAATAACCCAAGCTCCCAGCCCTCATGTATTTAAACCCCTTCAGTCCTGTGTCTCTTGTTGGTTCATTGTTTCTATGTCCTGCGTGCTTGATATTAAACCTATTGTAAAACCGTTCCTACCTGTCTGCCTGCCTTCCTCACCCGCGTGTGGATCCTCACCTCATCTCCGCTTCGCTCACCGGCACGTGTGTGACACCATTTCTCTCTGTTTTTCTCCGTGTCTGGTTTGACGACGTCACTTTCGTGATGCGCATTTGTAGTCCTGGACATAACACAAAACCTAAAATAATGTTTCCCCCCGTTCAAGAATAAGCGTGTTCATGGTATCAGAATGTGTCTTTAAAATTCATGGAAGTGAAATTCATGGCACATAAGCAGAATTAGAAAATAGTGTTTTTAGCTCCATTAACTTGCATTAATTTTTTTCATTCTTCTGGGGACCCATGGTCCAGAAGTAGATGGGGGTGACTTAGGCTCCCTCTTGGGTCCCATTGTTATAGTCTTTAGTATGACCCAACCACATATGAAACCCTGATTTCCCAGTCCTTGGGTAGAGGCTCATACCACTAAACTACTAAGAAGGTATAACCTTGTTTGTTTGGCTTGGGCATTTGGGGCCCCTCCTTGATTGGCTAAGACTGTATACTTTTGATGTGGTATGAACACACAAATCCTGGGAAATTAAAAGGAAATTCTGATAGCAATTGGCCCTCTCATCTTTTTAAAATGCTGAGATCCAAACCTGTCTACCACTGCATGTTTAAGCTGTTTCTGTGCTCCAACACACCTTATTCAAAGACTGAAATACGTATTCAGCTGTATTTCTGCAGAGGTGGAGCAGAGAAACATCCAAAACATGCAGGTTAGTGGCTGTGAATGATCATTATCGAACACAACTCTTTAAGAAACTAAACTAAACTGGTCCTGCCACCACAGGGACCTTGGGTGGAGCTCATTGCCAAGTTGTGTGGGTGTTTAAGATGTGCCACTTGCCGATAGGCAAGGCAGGCAATTACTTGGAGCCCTCACAGGCCCCAAGTGAGAACTACAACACTAGTGAGACAGGTAAAAGCTGTCTCACTGTTATTTCTACAACTGTAAGGAAATGTGTTAGACTCAAACTGAAGGACTAAACAGCTTACCCTCCCATCAGCAATGCACACAGAGCATCTTAGACAAAACTGGGCCTCTGCATTTATTCCCTTTATGGGAGCATAAATATTTGAGGTTGGGTTTCTTCATGGGAATCTGGCCCCTTTATAGAAACAAAAAACAAATGACCATAATGTAGATTTTCCATCTTTAAATGCAGCTATGTGTGACAGGAATGTTTGCAGAAATAAAAAAGCACAGATAAAAGCAAAACAAAGTTTGATAAACCAGACACACAGAGGCCATGAATAGATTCTAAAAAGATAAAAGTCTAAAAACAGCACCAGAAGAAAACAGATTTAACTTTGTTTTATCTATTTTATTTCACCTCATGAGCAAGAACATTGCTACCAAAAAAAAGCACTTTGCAGACAAAAGTTAGATGCAAAAAACTGCTTTTGATAAAAACAAAAAACTTCCTTTTAAATATTTGGATCTAAGGAACAGTGCCCTGAAATTTTTACCATGACATCAAAAAGCTGCAATTAATGTAATGTCCACTGGAGGCAGGCTTCTGGAGGTTGTTTCGGAACTGTGCTGCTCTGGGTGGCTGCATGTTGGAGTAGCGCTGTTGACTACAAGTTTTGCCTTTTTGGGACATTTATTTCATCTAGTTTCTAAAAAAAACAGTATTTTTTGGATGTTTTACTTTTCTGTTTCTGGTGCTATGAAGCTTAGAGGAATTTTACTGCTATTTTTTCACTTTTTGAGCATTTGTTATGATGCGTACCATGGCAACAAGCTGGTTTACAATTGGGAGCAGCTGATTAACATTGGAAAGGTTGAAATAATACCTCAACTGAAGCCATAAATCCCAAATGAGCTAAAACACAAGAAGCGTGGGTGCAGAGTGGGAACAAAACGGAGACAGAGAAAGAGGAAATTCAAACCGTCTTTTCCATTAATCATAATGGGCAATGTGAGATCACTGGCCAACAAGATGGAGGAACTTCAAGCCCTTTCAATGACTCAGCCAGAGTTTCGGCAGTGCAGTGTTATGTGTTTCACTGAGATGTGGCTGTAGGACCATATCCCTGATTCCAGTGTCTCTCTGCCAGGATTCCTGACTGTACGAGCAGACAGAGATCTGAAGAGGGGCGGAAAAAGAAAAGGAGGTGGAGTGGCAGTGCTTGTCAACAACAGATGGTGCCATCCAGGTCATGTTTCAGTGAAATGTCGTCTCTGCAGCCCAGATGTTGAAATCTTGGCAGTAAGTTGTCACCCATATTATTTGCCAAGAGAGTTCACCAGTGTTGTCTTGGCAACCATTTATATTTCACCTTCAGCCATTGCTGAAAGTGCATGTGATGCCATCAGTTCCGTCCATCCACTGTCTGGATGTGTCACTGACTATATAAACTTCTGTGTGGACAACATCATACCCACCAGAACAGTGAGATGCTTCGCTATTAACAAACCCTGGATCACCAGTGAACTGAAGAATTTGCTAATTGAGAAAAAAGAGCCTTCAAGGAGCTAGACAGGGAATTATTGAGGAGTATAGAGAAGCAACTGAAGATCAAGATCAGACAGCAAGGAGGCATACAGGAGGAAGCTGGAGAACAAACTACAGAGGAACAATATCAGAGATGTCTGGTCAGGGATGAAGAAGATCACAGGCTTCAATCAGAGGAAGGATTGCACAGACGGCAGCCTGGACACAGCCAATGAACTGAACAAGTTCTTCAATAGGTTCAGTTCAGGAACAAACCCAGCATCCTCCTCGCCTGTCCCCAGCCAATCAGACATCCCATCCTCCTCTGATCCAACATTTTCCGGTCACACGGCAGCTCTTTTGCCCTCTAACTGGTTCTATACATCTGTCTTCAACCAAGTCAGGATATGCTGCTGAACCCATTTACATCCCCCTCTCACCTATCTGTCTCTAGAAGTCAGGTGAAGAGGCAGCTGGAGAGACTGAACAGGAACAAGACTGCAGGTCCAGATTTCTCCAGTGCATTTAACACAATTCAGCCTGATGTACTTTGTCAGAAACTCCAGAAGACACAGGTGGGGGCCTCAACTATCGCCTGGATTAAAGACTACCTGACAAACAGACCACAGTTTGTGAGGCTGAAGAACTGCACATCAAACCAGGCGATCAGTAACATTGGAGCACCACAGGGGACTGTGCTCTCACCATTCCTTTACACTCTGTACACCTCAGACTTCCAGTACAAATCAGAGACCTGTCATCTACAGAAATACTCAGATGACTCTGCAGTTGTCGGTTGTATCAGAGATGGACAGGAAGCTGAGTACAGAGAGCTGGTGGAGCGCTTTGTGGCATGGTGTTGAAACAATCATCTGACCTTGAACGTGAACAAAACAAAGGAGATGATTTTAGACCTCAGAAGAAACAGGGTGGAGTCAAACACTGTTTCCATCATGGGAGAAGAAGTGGAGGTGGTTGAGGAATACAAATACCTTGGAGTTCACCTGGACAACAGACTGGACTGGAGAAAGAACAGCAAAGCCGTTTACAAGAAGGGGCACAGCAGACTGCACTTCTTGAGGACGATTAGGTCCTTCAATGTCTGTAGCAAGATGCTGCAGATCTTCTACAAGTCTGTTGAGAGTGTAATCTCTTCAGCCATCGTCTGTTGGGGTAGCAGCATCAGAAGCAGGGACCTGAAAAGGCTCAGCAGCCTAATAAAAAAGGCTGGTTCTGTTATGGGGACGACTGTGGAACCACTAGAGGAGATAATGCAAAGAAGGATTCTCCAGAGAATCAAAAAAGTTATGGACAACCTTGAGCATTCTCTTCACAAGACAGTCCGACAACAGAAGAGTGTCTTCAGTCAGAGGCTTCTTCAGTTTCTCTGCAACACTGACCGCTACTGGAGATCCTTCCTTCCAACAGCCATTGTAATATACAACAAATCTTTGACAACTTGATTATTATTATTCTGAGCTACTACAGCAATCATTTTCCCTCTGGGATTAATAAAGTATTTTTGAATTGAATTTAATTGAATTGAACTGATTTGAATTTAATTGAATTGAATAAAGTGGGTCCGTCCCAACTACTAGAAAATGGGACATTTGATAATTCACATTTTGGCATTTTAATGAATTTAAATTTTTCTAAGTAGAACCAAAACGGGGCTCTAAAAGGACAATGATTTTAAAATCTACAGCTACTGATCATTCAGGCACAAGGAATATTAGCAATAGTTAAGACCATTTGGTTGCAAGCCCTTTTCTTCACATGTAACAGAAGCCTCCTTAATTCAATACCTTTCTGTACATCTTCAGTCTGCACTCCCAGGTGTTATGAAGATGGGATGCACTTGGAGCTAAATCAAACGAATACGACAGAAACGAACAATGAGAGCTGGAAAATGAGACAGTTTGACATGCGGAAGCTGATGGCGACAACCCCGTAGGTGAAAAAAGGGAAGTGACAAAGATGTTTGTGTCAAAGTGTGCTGAAGAGCGAGAAAGAAAAGCACGAAAGAGGAAATCTGAAGGTGATGCAGAGAAACCGAAAGTGACGGTCGTTGCAGAACGTTTTATCTAAAGGTGAATCTGAAACAGGCTTTAAATTTAAAACAATCCTCTGTAGGTTTGTGTCAGTTATTTTTTTAATTAAAGGGGACATAATTGGCAAAACATAGGTCTCTACTTACTTAAAAAAATCTCCAAATATGAAAAAAGCTTTATTTGTTTTCAGTCACTGTTTTAGGAAATAAGTATCTAAAACAAATTGTTTCTAAAAGTACTCATTTGTGACCTCACAAACGAGAAAATTAGAACAGAATCACCTCTCTCATTCAAGAGAGAGCTGCTGCTGGAGGAGCGGCGGCTCTACTCCCAGCCCCTCCCAGATATTAGAGCATCTCAGCCTTAAGCAGCCAATCAGGGTATGGTGGGAATACCAGCTACAGCTTGTTTTCTTAAAAGGACAGAGCCCTGAAATAGCTCATTCTCTAGGGTGCTGAAACTGTCAAGAATGAAACTGCTAAAATTGCTTTATGTGAGAAGGATTTTATGCAAAGAACTACATATTGACCATAGACCTATTATAACTTCAGAAAAAAGTCATAATATGTCTGTAATTTACCACATAACACCCCCCCAAAACACCTGATCCAGCTATGTAAAAGATGTATCAGGCATAGACAATCAGTGAAATGTGAAAGATTTAAATCCCAACACTTAATGAAACTCATATCAGTCTGAATGTAAAGGCTACAGCCTTCTTCAAAATTAATTAAAATAAAACAACTCTAACTTTTATTTCTAATTTACAGCAAACTAGAGCTTAGAGCGAGGGGACTTTTATTCTGAAAGCCTTTTATGTCTATCCTCCACAGACAAAGTGGAAATGAGCAGCAGCTAAATTAAAAAGCTTGATAATACAGAAACACAAGCATGAAAGAAAACCCATCCAGACCTTTATCTGAGCGTTCGCTCCAGTTATGCAAAAACACAGGTGTACAGTGCCTATGTAGCTCTGTGTGTGTGTGGGGGGGTGGGGGTGGGGGTGGGGGGGGGGGTATAACATGCTAAAATGAGTTACACATCTGCACCAAGCTTGTTAATCATTGTATACCCTGCAGTCCATCTCTTTACCTTTAACCTTCTTCCCAGTTCTAGGTAAAGGACCTTTCAGGAGCTCAAAACCTTTTGACCTGTTGGCTCATTTTAAACAAAGAGAATTTAAAAACTAAGAGAGACGTCAAACTCTACTCTGTTGCTCAGATTTGTGTATTATAGATAAAACTAAAACACTAAAATCCAACACCAGAGGAGGTACCAATTTGATCATCCCATTGAACACATTTACAACAAATTCTTTATTTTCATCCTTCAATTTGTTGTCTGGCCAAATTAGTAATAATAATGTTTCAGAACTGAAACGTGATTACTGGAATACAACAGTTTTACATGGGTACCTGGCAGTAACGTCTATCCACTTCTGAAAACACTTGCTCAGGTTTCCAGTTGACACAAAATTACAAACAAACAAAACAAAACACAAGTCCATATCTGGAGCACCATTTGGGACCTTTGCTCTGCATACGTTTTCCTCAAAGATGTGGAACACTTGTTTTGCAGTAGTTTCTAGTGAATGCCTTGTAAGTCGTACTCTGGGGAAAAAGCTCCAGTGCACCTGTTTCAGGAACTAAAAAATTGCCACATCAGAGTTGAGCTTCAGACAGCCGGATTTGGAGTCGTATTTCCTGATATTTGAACATCTCACCTCTGATTGGCTAACAGCAACATGACTCTACCACTGGCTCCGTTTGCTCTGCAACATTGATGTTTCATCTCCACAAGCCTGAAGGAATTCTGCTGTGTGGTAGTGTTGCTAATGCTAACAGTTAGCTTCTACAAGCTGAGACATTCTCTGCTGTTTCCTGGATGCTAAAACAACAACCTTCCCCGTCATGTGTCAACATGGGTAAGTCCATGAACGTTAAGCAACAGTGTGATGTAGATCTATCAGGCTTTTCAAATTTTACCGTCTATTTTCTATCAGAAGCTAATGCACGAGATAGGT